GAAAAGAAGCCTTAAAAACTTTCTTCTTGGATCAAATTATATCGAAAAAAATAAAGTTTTTCCTTCCTTTCAAACTTTTTTTTTTTGATCAATGTGTAAAGTTCTGCACTAATGTATCGTACCAGTCACATTTTCTCGGTCATTCATTAAGCATGTCAAAGATAAAAGTTATGAAACATAAAAGCTTAGTTTTAAAAGTGTCGCAGTCAATGATACTCAAGACTTTTATGCCTTATTTTGGTGAAATCATAACGAACTTAAAGCATGTAGACAGCAAGGCTTCGTTAAATAAATTTTATGTGCTTCATTGGTCATGCGCTGGAATAGAATTTCTCCTCTTTAAGACAAGCAATAAAAGTTTTTGGCCTATAATGTGCACTTTATGATGCTCGTGGCCTATTCATGTTCTCATCAAAATTCATACGCGATTGAAAAATTATGACTTGTGCACAATGATTCAGAATCGAAAAAAATGTTCAAAAATTCAAAAATTTCATGTTAATTAAACTATGTCCTTTAAATGCCAGATTAAAGATCTTAACTTGAGGCATATCCTATGAAAATATCTCGTCCCAATTTGATGTCTAACTCCAGAAATCATTAATTTAATCTCACCCAAAATTTGTTTACAATTTGTGTATGAAAAAAAAATATGATTTTTTCTACTTTAAGTTGTTATTTGGATGTCTTGGAAGCAGTTACTAGCTAATTTAAGCTTAGCTTTACATACTAAAACAACCAACTCAATAGAAATCTGCGTATTAAGCCTTAAAAATGGAATTGAAATCTGAGTATTTTTACACTACTTAAACTATTCATAAGTTAAAAAGTCTTCCAAAGACCTCTCTGAAACCTATATAAATCCATTAATTAAGTTAAAATCTATCTCCCATATTACTGAGGACATGCCGTTTGATGCCGTTTTCGAGATATTTGCGATCAAAGTTTACATAAATTTTCATACAAAATTTGATCATGCACAATATTTTTTGATAAACTTTTACAAACTTTTGGTAAAAAATCATGTTTATCCTTTATATTAGGGACTAATTTTTTGAGCAATGAACGAAAACATTATGTAGATGATGCTAAAAGATTCAAATCAAGAGAAATTAACAAAAACTTTCAATTTTCTAATGTGTTGGAAAAATATTGTGCACAAGGAATTTTTGAACATTTTTTCCGAATCTGAATCATTGTGTTGTGCCGAGTATTTCCATAAATTTACAATTCACACGACACAGCAAATTGGAAAATATTATTTGCTTGACATCTTATTGAGTCGTTTGTAAATGAAGTCCATCAAAACATTGACATCCTTCTTTAATGGAGTGTAAATTTTTGTTTTGGGGTGTGAATTTATGTTCCAAGGGGTATGAATTTATGTTTCAAGGGGTATGAATGTGTGTTCCCAAGGGTGTGAAACTATGTTATGAGGGGACCAAATTTTAGCCGAATTTTAATTCAAAAGTTCTTAATCTTATAAATATTTTCAAAGAAAACTAAATCCTCCAGACTAGTTCTGCTACTAAACCCTCTTAACCTCCAAACACTTCAAATCTTTTTCTTCACACAACTTTAGTTCTTAGGTCAATGAGTCAGTCAATAGGTTGTTGGAATTTAATTGGAAGTGTATCACAGTTTTAGACCCTCTCATCAAGTTAAACATCATTTATGAACTCTGTTTTGTTATGGACCTCCTTTTGTTATCTTCGTTTTACAACTTTTACTGACAAATATACATTCTCGAATAACTACAATATTACCTATTGAAATAAAACTTTTCCCATAAATATTATGGACTCGCCATAAAATTTTTCCTTTTTCTTCTCGTACGGAAGGTAATCAAACCCACACGCAAAAATATATTTTTGTTCAATTTTCTCGACTCCTGCTCTTTATTATTTCTATCAATACCTTTTTACTACGTTAAATTATGATTATAATTTTCAGTTGTATTCTTTTTTACCTTCTGTCAGATTGATTTACAAAAATTTTACTATTAATTCGTTGTGAATCAGATAATTTGGTTTAAAAAGAGGGATTTTAAAGCACATGGGAATGAATTTGTACTAAGGGGTGTGAATTTTTGTTTCAAGGGGTGTGAATTTATATTTCAAAGGGTGTTCAATTGCGTTCCAAGCAATATAAACTCTCCTTTTTAATTCAAAAAACTCGTAACATCAACATCTAATACTTTTTGAACTTATCAATAGCTTCTTTATCCAGGTTCTATCAAAAATGCCTTTATCATCGAAAATGCACCCCACCATGCATGACGAGGCACTTTCCCAATAGCAACTTATATTTGTTTATGAAAATGATGTATTTGTATACATAAGAAGTAAAGCCAAAGAAGGCGCAACACAAAAAGGAAACAAAGACGCATTTCAAATGGATATATGTTTGAGAAGGAATTGAATTCTTCATCTTTACGTAATTAGAATCAGCTTGATTCTTTTCGTACAAATCTACTCAACTTGATTCCGGCTCAACTTTGCCTTTGTTGTTTGTGAGGAAGTAACACAATGGGGAATCAGAGAACAGAGTATTTGGAATAAGAAAGTTTTGAACGTTTGATCTGTTGCTTGATTTCCGAAATGAGAATCTTTTATAGACTTGACAAGCAGACGAGCGCATTTATAGCACATTGAACCTCTCGAATGATGCGTGAAAGGAATATGATGAAGAAAGTTTGAACATTATTCTTGGAATTACTCGAGAGTTGAAAGGATTGTTGACTCTATTTTGTGTATGGTTTGGTATTCACATATTATTGCTGTGCAAATATTGCGTTTTGTAAATGTTTATTAACTTCCGTGCTGTGCTGGGTATGGTTGCTAATGAAAGAACTTCTTTCATTTTGGAAACTTGAATCCGAGTTTTGATTTGGGGCCGTTCACTTATTACGTTACGCAAAAAAATGACTTTTTTCACACCCCTTTCCCCTCCCCCCCCCCCTTGTTACAATATGTAACAACTCACAACCCCCCCCCCCCCCCCTGATTTTTTTTTCGTGAACTTTTTTTTAAAAGACAGACGACAGTTAGAACGTTACATACTTCTTGACACCCCCCCCCCCCCCCTCTATGTTACCCCCCGTCCCCCTAAAATGCGAACGTAATAAGTGAACGGCCCCTTTAGAGAATTCAAACTCATAACGTGGAAGTACACCACAACCCCCAAACTCTCAATCAGTTTGTACTTCTAGGAACATCTCAAACAACATCATTATCGTAACTGTTGATGGAATTTTTCCTACAGTAATTTCCATTATTTTTCGTACATTTAACAGTCTCGATCAGCATGATGTGCGTCGAAGAAGAAAACGTCATCATTACCTCCTTCAGCAATTTCTCTTATCATTTCATGAACATAATTTTTAACTCAATTTTGATTATTGCAGCACATTAATCATCCGTAAATTTCCACCAATTTTTCATTCACGACCCACAAAAAGGGAATAAGAAGATCACTCAATTTAATGAATGCAATGAACGGAAAAAGCCATAATCATTTTTGCCAATATTTACGCTGACGATGAAGTGTATGTAAAAAAATGTAAAAGTCAAACATTCCCATCAAATTAACTGTAAAATATGGCTTATGAATTGAATCAGCGAAAAGTGGCATATTTGATTTCATCAAAATCGTAAGCCGCCCACCATGCGGCACCGAAGCTCACACACAAAAAAACCCTTTTATGATTCTATGTTCATTAGCTAATTGTATTATTAAAGAGGAAAATAAAGGCACATTGATGGTGAAATGATACAACAAAACTGGATATTTTTAGCTGATAAAGTCACTTCAAAAGAATCAATTTATTCATGAAGATTGAGTCTATTGAAAATAGAATAGAATAGAGAAGCTAATCCTTAAGAGACCTTTTTGAAAGTTCAACTTGAGTGCTGTGTCTATATTCAGCTACGCAGTTTGGTTATGAGGATCTCATGGCTACTAGAATAGACATCAATTAACCATAACTGATTGTATTTCTTCTTTGAAAAAGGTTTAATGAATAAACCGAGAATAGACCGTCGAATGAGAAGCTTTTGCAAAGAGCAAGGCAACAAGGATCATCCAGGTGTGGCTGGATTGAATATAAAAATCATAAAAGAAACGCCAAAGGTAAGCTTTAAATGCTTTTTTGTTGGAGACTAAAGCTTTCTCGATCGAAACAGGATTGAGTTAACCTCTGGATTTAGTATTCGTTTCCAATGGCTTGAGTTTGTTGTGCTATTCGGATATTTCAGGCTAATTTCAAAAAAAAATCTGGATTTTTAACGGTTTTTAAGCTTCAAAAGCATTTGATGTTTGAGTTCTCTTTAAGTTTCCTGAAAAGAAGATAAATGCAACAGTTGAGTGAAGCTATTTGATGTCATTGACACTTGTTAGAGCTTGAAATCAGGACTATATCAAGCATGTGCTTTAAAATTACCAATTTTGTGTCATTAAAATGACACACTTGAAAATATCCAACATTTATGTGTTCAACAAAGGACATTAACATTAAAATTGACAACTACAGTAATTACCTCTGATTGAATAAAGCAGAATAAAGGAAGAACATTATGTGATTAAAAAAGAATCATTACTGATAAAAATACTCAAAATGTAAACATTCTGTTCACAAAAAGCATGCAATCAGTCAATATATACAGTCATTAAAAAATGAGCAGCATTAAGCATATGTCAACAATCAAATTATGAAGAGAAATCGATGGGATGAAGCTTGTCATTTAAAGTTGTTGTTCTTGCATAAAAATTTCATTGTAAACCCAGCAAAAAATGCCGTTAATAATTTGAATATTTTAGTAAAGACACATTCACAAAAGTTCAAACTTTAAGAATCGGTTAAAAATTAAACGGATATGCAAGCTTGACAGCATAAATTCTCAAAAAGATTATGTTGAGAAACAACTTCAGGAAATTAATAATGAAAAGCAATCATTGAAATTTAAAAATTCATCTCAGTTCACAAAGATTTTTTTCACAATCATTCAACGAATTAAATCTGAAGAAAGAACGAAATTATATTTTTTAAAGGAAGTCAACAGAAATTAAATCAAATACAATGAAATCAGAAGCAACAGTTGCAGTTCAAATCCAAGAAAAATTACCGACGAAGAAAAAAGGATGGAGACGATTCTTGAGCTTTTTCACTCTTGGAAAATCAAAGTCGAAAAAAGTTTCATCAAAGATTGATCAAAGTAAGTTCAAATTGAACTAATCCAGACTCAATTTGATTTGATTTCTGATTTGTTTCTTCTCTTAGACGTAAAGGCACCAAAACCTGTGACAAGCTCTAGTAGCAAAGCAAAGATTTGTGCAGTCAATTCTGAATGTGATGTCTTGCTGAACTATGAAGCTCCTCGTACTGTTAATGTGAGTATAATTTGAATGTTAACTTTATGGTGCCAAAATTTTAATATTTTCCCATTTATCCAGGTTTTGCCAGTCGTTCCAGAAAAACGAAAACGTCTAAGTCTCATGTGGATGTTTAAGAAAGAAGATGCTGAGAAGTCGAAGAACAAATTTTTGACAATCAAAACCTGTGCTGAAGTTCACGATGAGTCAACAGAATTGTCTCAAAATGTCGAGTTGCTTGATGTGGTTGCAACTGTAGTGGATGGTGACAACACTAATGAAGTAGAACAGCTGGATTTAGAGAATGTCAAAAATGCTGAAGTAAGTAAATGAGAATCTCGTAGGTTCTGCTTAATAGTCTCTGAACCAAGCGTGTATTGCTCTGGATAAATTTGATTAATCCTTAAAAAAACTAATCAGCCCTAATCTTACTCTTTAAACAGGTTGAATCTCCATCGAATATCAATTCTGAAGCATTCAAGTTCCACGTCGGCAAGAATCTGATTGTCGCTTTATCAGCTTGTCCAACGATTGGAGAAATAATAGAGAACAACTTGCAATGTCGTGAATCATCTCATCTAAACTTCATCCCATCTAAAACGAATTTGTCTAGTAAGGCAATTGTTGAAGATGTCGTTGACGATGTTACTGTGGAGATTCTAATTCAAAAAGAAAAAGTCATGGAAGATCCAGTCATCAAAAGTAACGACAAATCAGTTGTAGATGACAATTCAGCTGATAAAATCCTAAAAGAAGATCGCGATGCAATTGAATGTTACATTGATGAGCTTATTCAAGCTACTTGTGAAGTTGGCAAAAAGGAATTGGAATCTGAGTTTTCAAACCCTGAAAAAATTTACATAACCATCAATCCTCAAGTAATTGACAAGCAAGTTACTGATCAAGAAGTTAAGTGCAACCATCTCAAAATGTCAAGCCAGACAATAAACACACATGAAACTAAGCTGATCTCAACACAAAGTGAATTAAAAATCAAAGATTTTCCAGTTCCATCCCGTGTTAAATCCAAAAAGGTTGAAGTCCCAAAAATCATGAAAAATGGACGAAAATTCACCCATCCATACAGGAGACGCATAAAATTTGCAAAATGCAATATGCCAAGTAAGAACTTAGTAGCATTTATAATTACATGACACTGTTCAAACAACATTTCAATAATAATCGAGTATAGATTGTTTGTTTTGGAATCTAATCCATTCTTTAAACTTTTCTTCCCTTTAGCAATTGCTGAACAATCTGAAGATGACGAAACTACCGATGGATCTTCAATTATGCTTCATACAGAAGTTAATAAATCAAATTCTAACTTGGATATTGCTCAAAACTCTAAATCTTCTGATCATCTCATTCAAAATAAAGACGAATCAGTTGCAAATGAGGAATCTGCTAGTCAAGTCTCAAAAGAAGAATACGGTGCACATGATTGTCAAGACGTGAAAACCCTGCAATCTGAAATTAATCAAGTTGCATGCAAAATCAGTGAGGACTTGGAACTTAAGTCATCTAAGAATGAAGAAGAAAACAAGCTGACTAATCCTCAAGAATTTCAATGTTATGATCCAAAAATTTCAAGTAAGAGCTCGATCTGTTTAAATAGCATCGAAGTTGTACCAATTACATCTTGTGGTAAAATCCTTGGCAAAGACAGCAAAATCTTCAATCACGGGGACAGCAAAATCCTCGAGACATCCTGCAAAACTTTTGAATCAGCCATCGAAATCCCAAAAATAGTGAAAACCCAACGAAAATCAAGCAGCCCTTACATGAGTCGCATAAGGGATATAAGTTTCAATATGCCAAGTAATAATTTTAATGTGTTTTTTTAAAGCTACTCATCCGTTCTTTAATTCTGATTATATTCTTAGCAATTCATGAAGAACCTGAGAATAACCAAACCACTGACGAAGACTTTAAATTACATGATATTTTGATGCCTGATCGTAATATGTACCAAAACAGACCAAAGACAGCATTAAGTCGTAGTCAAAAGACTCAAGTAAGTCTCAATCTATTTGAATTCCTTCAAACTATCAGGTATCTTAAACAATAGGCTTTCTTATTTAATTCAACAAATCATTTTCAGGGCATCTCTGCTTTCGACAGAAATAAGATCGAATTAAAGTCTGAAGATGAAATCATGACTGTTCAACCTGATTTTACAACTACTCTTGATGATGACAAAAATGAAAGTAAGCTAATGCTCATTGGAGATAATCCAATAGTAGGACAAGATAGTTGTAAGCTATCAAATTGAAGGCATCAATCACTCGAAAACGTGACGAAGGAGTCGAAATTAAAGGAGTCAAAGCCGTTTAAAATCGATCTTTAGTCATCTGCATGCACATGGAGAATAGGAACATGCTACAAATTTATTGTAAAACGAAAAGAATCACCAGATCACATTGTAATTCTTTTATTTCTGTTGCTGTTGCTTTCAGATCAAACAACAATGTTTGAAAGCTCCAATTTTGGTGCTAAAGTAACTGCAAATTCAAAGATTGCTTGAATGCTAAACTGTTATTTTTCAAAAATTTGAATTTAAATCTTCTCTTACCGTTATTTTTAAAATCAAATTCAACAGTTATTTGCAAGAAAGAAAAGGTTGTCTTTATTGTAATGAACTTTGGTAGTTTTGTTTTTTTTTACAAAAATTGCAGTTAACATTATGGAAACCAACCTTTTCGGTTTTAACTCATTATTAAAGCATGAGAGTTTATGTAGATAATGTGAAGTTTATAAATTAAATGAGTGAATTGTTTATGTGGGTAAGTATAAAAAAAAAATAAAGTAGTTTGAAGAACCACTTGGAAACTATTTAATGATAACCATAATTTTTACAGTAATGTTACAGGTCTTGGAAGTTTGTGTTTAAGTCGATATTCAAGATGAGAGTAATCATATTTTCCAAGATTATGACTGTCAATTCTACGATAGAAGTTGACTGTAAGTTTATTGAAGAAATCAGCCATGAATGGAATCTTTGCTCGACTATGTACTTCAAGATTTGAGACGAAATCATCCCAATTAATATTAAGAACGTATCTCAAAATTTTATTTTGGAAAATTTGGATTTTGCTTAAGTGTGAAGCTGCACAATTAATGAAAATGCTATATCCATAAGCGACGACTGGTCTTGTTATAGATTTATAAATTCTGAGTTTGGAATCAACTGTTAAGCAAGCAATACAGCTGAGAGAATGCAACAGACTTTGCTTTTCGCAATATCCAATCAACATGACTCTTGTAAGCTAATTTTTAAGTCGATATTCAAGATGAGAGTAATCATATTTTCCAAGATTATGACTGTCAATTCTACGATAGAAGTTGACTGTAAGTTTATTGAAGAAATCAGCCATGAATGGAATCTTTACTCGACTATGTACTTCAAGATTTGAGACGAAATCATCCCAATTAATATTAAGAACGTATCTCAAAATTTTATTTTGGAAAATTTGGATTTTGTTTAAGTGTGAAGTTGCACAATTAATGAAAATGCTATATCCATAAGCGACGACTGGTCTTATTATAGATTTATAAATTCTGAGTTTGGAATCAACTGTTAAGCAAGCAATACAGCTGAGAGAATGCAACAGACTTTGCTTTTCGCAATATCCAATCAACATGACTCTTGTACGTTAATTTTGTATCTAAACAGTTATTTGCAAACCCGATTTTAAAATCAAATCAACATTTTTGGAAGTTATAAAATGTATTACCACAACTTTAAGCCTGACGTGGACGAATGAAAACACTCAAAATATTCTTAAATCACCATTTAAGTTTGATTTTATTTTTTATTCATTCATCAATTCATACAAAAAAACTCATTACAAATAATTTTTGGATTTTTTTTTTTTACCGTAGTGTTGCGAAATAAAATAGACAGAGAGAAAAGACAGATAGAAGATCAGGGAATCATAAAAACAGATAATGTGCAAAATTGTTGAATCAAATCTTCTTTCTTGTTGGTGTGACTGGTTTAAATTTATCGAATGTAAAACTAGTTGACTTTTTTGTGCAGCTTGCTCTTAACAAACTCATCTTCGCTGTTGTCCTTCAATCGACTCATGCGTTGCAATAGTGTTGGATGCTGTGGATGGAATTCTGTTATAAATTACTTAAAAATTAAGATTTGTTGAACTTACCGAATGATTCCAACTGCTGTACAAATAATCGTAGATTGGAAAGCCTAAATTATCAATGTGAAGCTTAATGAGTGACTTGCAGAGATCAGCAGCAAAACCTAGTTGTTTGGCAAATGCATCAGCTTGATACTCAAACTTTCTAGACAACAAAGTCATTCCGAAGCTGACAACTGTGTTGAATGGAGCAAGAACGTACATAATGATGACTAGGAATCCGACCTGAAATTGGAATAAATCGTTACACAAAATTTGAAATCGAGTAAAATTTGAATTCTTTTAAACCGTTACAATTTTATCTATGCCTCAAAGGACCACGTTTACACTTTGAATTTCTAAAGAATGAATAAACTACTCACAATAATTGGCTGCTTTCCATTTGTGAATCCAACAGCTTCATAAAGTGCATCGAACTTGAAGAGATAGGCAAACATCATGAAAATAATGAATAATTGAACCTGCATAATGACAATATTCTTAGTCATATGTCCAAGCTTCCAATGTCCAAGTTCGTGTGCTAAAACAGCCAAAACTTCCTCATCAGTACATCCTTTTCCTTTTTCATCCGCAGCTAATGTGCTGTCATCAGCAAGTCCTTTATTCAGCAACAATGTGTCAAAAAGGACAATTCTTTTGACTCCCCAAAGTCCTGTAAAGTATGCATTCGAGTGATGACTTCTTTTTGATCCCTCAACAACCAAAAGTTGACCAATTGGAAATGAAAGTGATGCAGCTAGTTCCTCAATTGATGTCCTTAACTTTCCTTCTTGTAAAGGTCTGAACTTGTCAAACAAAGGTGCAATGTAGACTGGATAGAATGTGATGAGAAGCATGGAAATGAGTCCAACGAATGCCCAGAGCCAGACGAAGAAATAGTCACCGCCAATTTGGACAATCCAGACGATACAAGCCACAATTGGGATGCTGAAAGTATGAAAATTAAGTTGACAAAATTAATTAAGTAAGTCGTGTATAAGTACCTTATAGCCTGTCCAACAGCGAATGCTTTCAATTGGTCCTTAATGAAGAATGATGCAGTCTGTTTATTAAATCCGTGTTTTTCCTCGAGTACAAAAGTACTATAAATGCCAAATGGCAGGTCCTTGAATATCCCAATGACATTGACAATTAGTAAAAAGATGCAGGAGACATGAATCTCATTGGCTGGATTAAGATGGAATCTTCCAGTATACACAATAGCTTCATTCCATAAGTATGCAATAAAACCACAATATAATTCTATAGACACTATAATTATATCACAAAGAATCGACTTAAATATCTCAAATTCAGCTTTATCTATGCCATAAAGTCTACGGAGATAGGGGAAACATATGTTTACATAAGATTAGTCAGCTTTACTGGATGTTTTTGCACAATTTATGTTTTTACCTTGCTTTTTCGAAAGTTTCTTCTTTCAATGCTTCCTTAAGCTCTTCCGGTACATTCTTGCTGGTTTTGTAGACTTTCAACTAGATTATTTAATTAATAATTGCGAAATTTTATTATCAAATATTTATTTTAAGGCTAGTCTTATCATTAATTTTTAATTTACCTGTCTAAAAGTCAAATACAGTTCCACCAAGTTCTCGAATACAAGAAATCCGAGGATGGAATATAGTACGGTAGTCATTCTTGCAAGAACAACTCTTAAATTAGGTATGAATCAATTTTTTGCTGATAAAACTTTTGACTTTTTTTCGACAACAACTTGTAAATTGTATTGATGACTTTTGAATGTATTATCTATCAATTTTGATGTTTCCTGTGCACATTTATGCTCATTCTTTCTATTATTAATGGTTTGACTGCTTATTAATGTGTAAGATGTTCGCATGTTAACAAAATTCTGGATTTTGATAAATATTTCAACGGGTTTTGTAAATTCAAATTACACAATCGAAAAATGTTTTCTCAATTTAATTGGCTTTAATTACCCACAAAAGGTAATTCTTTATGATCGGCGGCATTCCAAAATTAAAGCGATTGAGATTAAACTAATTTGAGGGCTTTAATTGCTTATTAAAAATTGTGGAGTAACGGTTGATAAAAATTTGAAACCAAACTGTTATAATCCCCTTCCAGTCTTCCAGTAAGCAAAACTTTCCAGTTTTCTATTTGATATATTCCGCTCAATGTGCCTTATCTACTGTTCCTTGCACCCTCAAAGTTCTTAGAATGATTTCAATTATAGTTTTTTCTACGATACCAAAAATTCATATTGCCAGCTATCTTCGTTCTTAAATTGGCACAACGGTTCTTTCATATTCAAAAAGTTGTTTTACCCTCAGAAATAAATATTAAGAATTAATTAATTTAACCAGTTTCAAGCCTTTAAATCAGTCCTCAAAGTCTATCAAACATCCATAAATGTAATCTACTAAGTTTCTGATCAAAATTCATACGAATCAAAGTCATTAAGTGAAAAATAAAGCAAAAAAAGTTAATTCAACAAAATGATAAGAGAGTTATCAGGTCCATTAATAGTTTTACTGCTAGCTGGGACCATTTTAACAGCCACAATATTCATAATCTTCGCTAAGAGACAGATAACAAGGTTTACTTTGAAATCCAGGTAAGAAAAAAGTGAATAAAATTATTGATTTTAAGAAAAACTACAAAAGTCTTGTCTATCCTTTATTCCAGACATACTCCACATGCACCGTTAGGTCAAAATGCTAATAAGCCAATCAAAAAAGAGATTGAAAGGCGATTAGAGGTTTTAGACAAGCTGTTTTTTGAGCCACAACTTTTAGCAGCAGACGACAAATTTATCCTTAGACCTGGAACTCAGTTACTTCCTTATTATTACCGAATGAAGGCTGTTGATGATGTAAAATTGTTAGACAGAGAAATACCAAATCGTGGATCTCAACCACTTAGACCATTCCTTATTAATTATCTTGCTGGATGCTCTCAAAAACTCGTCCATCAATTCTGTGACTCTTACGAACATGCTAGGTACGATCCAAATGAATATGGCGATGAAGAATATCAAAAGTATCATCATCTACTACTCAAAATGATAGAAGCGTAAGTGTTATTAAGGCAATGACTGTAATTTCTGTATTTTAATGACTTTTTCATCTCACACACAGTGCTAAGCTTACAAAACAAACAGCCAAGACGTCTCCAAGTCGCAATCGAACGCCTACAAAGAAGTCATCATCAAAAATACAACCATTATTAGACCCATCACGTTTAAAACCACCAATAACGATGCCAGAGACACGAAATTCTCAATTGAATTTATCGATTGGATTACAACAGCAGCAGTTGGAGGATGATGAGAATGAGATTTTGAGTATTTCGCAGATTCATGACGTACCAAAAATTGAAATGTTATGAAACATGAATAGATATTGATAAGTTTAAGGCTTTTTGGATCAAGTAGCAAATTTGAAAAATAACGGTGAAATATAATTCAAATTTCAAAAAATCTAGAAAATTCAAATTTTAACTATCCGTTGATAGGAACTGCATGTACTGGACATTTTTATGTTTTACATTATTTATTTAAATAACATGTAATAAACTTCTAATTATGACAAAAAAAAATTGATATGATAGACTTCTGATAAATTCCAGTAAAAGTGGTTAAGCTTAAGGATTAAACATTTCGACATCAATAGTCAAACGACGTGATTGCGGGACATGATCATGATATCTTCTTTTATGAAAAGTCATCGATCCAGGTGGGACTTCTTCATTACAAATATTGCAAATGGATACAGAGCGATTAGTATTTAAAATGCAGAACTTCTCGTGATTCCTGAGCGATGAACTGACATTGTATGGACGAGAGCAGTGACGACATTCTAGCTTTTGAGGTCCGATTGTGCTAAAACGTCTAGTTAAACGAGGTAATTTGATGATTAGGCGTTTGAGAGGTTTCTTAGGTGCTGTTTTTGATCGAGTTTTAGGAAGTTCGATTTTTGGAATTAAGTTTAATTGTTCCAGGAACAATTTTTCGTCTTCTTCAATCTTTGCTTTGACAGGAGTAAAGACTTTTAACTTTTCTATCTTATCAACGGGTTTTGATGTACTACGTAGGATGTTTGGCTTCTTTGGCGGTCCTGGAACTGGAATATCAACTTTTGGTTGAACTTCAACATTTACTTGCGTTTCAATAAGGTTTGGGCCTTCAGCAACCTCTACCTTAATTATTTCCTCTGGTGTATCACCAACATTTGGATTGACTGTATTAATCTCTAAGTTATGAATATCCATAATCCCAAACAAATCACCAACTCTGATGAAATGAGTCAAATAGTCACGATCAAATGTCAGTTCACCATCATAAATATAACGAACTATATTAGAGAGATCCACAAAGCTCACATTGTCTATCAAACACATTTGTGACTTCTTCATGTCACAAGAATCAGACAAGAACAGATTCTGGAAGAAATATGAAAATTTAATTAAAGTTTTAATAATTGTTCACTGGATCTTAAAAACGTACATAAAAATATGAACTTGAAGCAGCTAGAATCAAACGATGAGCTTTTAATGTGCCTCCTGCAGCAACTAACATGATATCGGTAAATTGAGAATTTTTCATAAAGTTGGAAATCGCTAGATTTTGCTTATTTGGATGATTTTTACGTTTAATCTTATACTGATTAGACGACATCCTGATTTAACTATACACAGTATTTATTGTTATCTTAATTAAACATTAACTTCTTTTATAAATTAATAAAACAAGATAGTTGAGACTTCAAATTGATTGAAAACTTACCAAGATTTGATTTTTAAAAATTGAACAATCTAGTTTGAAATCTGAATAACCGTTACAAATATTTTGAGATTTATAACAATTTTAATCGGAAATTATCGATCTTCGGGAAGCAATTCATTGAAACATAGCTAATTTATTGCATTTTTGTGCATTGTGCATTGTTTGTTGGTTTAATATTTCAATAATTTGATAAATTTTCAACAGTCAATTGACATTCAAAAAAAATCTTTTAATGCAGAGAAATTTAAATTATTTTTAACCGTTAAAGTTTTAATTTCAAGTTGAAATCCATGAAGACAGCAAATTACAATCATACAAGACAGACTTGTCATAATTTCCTTTAAGAAATATCTTTCATAATTTAATTAATTTCACAAGCTACATTTTAATTTGTTAATTTATTTTACAGTTCATAATTCTGCCTCAAGCAAGGAATCAAGCCTGCCGCTGCATATTTCACTTTTCAATTACAGCAACATTTAATTAAAACTACCGAGTTCCAGTGATACAATTTTTAATAATTCAAATAAATACACCCCAATTAACAGCAAATTTAATTTATGGCATCCTTAAAACTCATCTTAAAGTCAGTCGGTTTGCAAGAATTATTGAAGCATGCAGCACCTCTTTAACCTTGTGGGAAATAAATAAGAGTAGAGACAGTATAACGATAAAGTTTGTCTTTCCGTGATTTCCTTTAATTCTGCCAATCGATTGCGAAGCTATATCTTTACTCACCTCTAAAGACTGATACAAAACATAATTCAACACCTTCTCAGCATTAAAAAATCTTCTAAATCTATCGACAAAAAAAAGTGTCTTTAAATATAAATTGTGTTCTTATTACGGCTGTTGTTGGATTTAAGGAACGACTAGAGCGCATTTCAACTTTGCAATTCAGAAATTAGAAATTTAACAGTTTTTTCAAATTCAAATTTCAACGGATTTCAAAAATTCAAATAATGATTTTTAAAAAAATTCAAATTTCAACCGTTAAAGTAAAGTTAAAGTTATTTTTCAGTATATAAAATCAAAAATCAATCCTAGCTTCATTCGTCTCAAAATAAATCGCTTAAAAATTTAATGGCCTTTTGTATCCATTCAGCAAGTCGCGTGTCACATTTGCTGCAACATTAGAGCAATTTCTTCTTCTTTCTTGACTTTTCATTCTGTGTCATATATTCCTTGACAATAGAAATTTTCTCACACTTGTTGCTGCTGCTCTGACTGCCTTGCCCTTTTTTTAATGCGGTATAATATTTCGAAGGCTTATGGCAAATATCTTAACAGTAAGAAATAAGAAGGGGCGGCAATATATATGCTCAAATTCACAATACAATGCGAAAAAAAAGTCATATTTAAATTCCGATCATGATTCCGAATAAAAGACGAAGTGATGAAACCCCACTAAAAGTGTGTGTTAAGGAAAAAATTCCATTTCTTTCCTATTCTGGTGCCTTAAGAGCAATTGGTAGAGGAAATTTTTATTGAAGAAAGGATGGCATTTTATTTCTTAATATTCCACTTTTTCTTCTTCTGCTTCTCTTTTGCTGATTCGAACATCTTTATTATATGTATGGATATTTCAGGGGTTTTAAAATGGAATTCATACGACCCATCGATGGACAGTGGCAGAAATATTATGCAAATTAATTTTTGAAATATTTTTCTACTTCCTTTTTTGGGACTCAATAACTTCACGTACTTGTTTTAAATTTAATGATAAATTGAGGATCTAATTGTGATGTTTTTGGAAAGGGGTAGTTCACCATACAGTGTGAATTAATTATGAACATTTAATCATTGTTCAAATATAACAGAATTCAAAATTTAACGAAATTAAAAAATTCAAATTCTACCGGTTTTCAAAAATTCAAATTTTAACGGAACTCAAAATTTAAAATTTTAACGGAATTCAAAAATTCAAATTTTAACAATTCTTAATATTTCAAATTTTTATGGAATACAAAAATTCAAATTTCAATGCATTTAAAATCCTAATCGATCCTAATAACCACCAAAGACAAACTTCAGAAATTCTTAGAAAAAATCAAAATCTCCCTTTCATAGTGATCCCGTCCAGTCATCAACTCTGAACATTCACGCAAAGTATATAGATGATGATGATGATGGTGCTGTGTGAGTTTATTAAGCTCAAAATTATTACGAATGAAGGAATGTGTGATGGAATGAGATGAAAATATGAAGATGGTTAATGGCTCAGAACAATTCTTTTATTTTCTTCTCTTTTTTAAGCACATACGCTAGTCATATTATCGTCCACTTTAAAGGAGAGAAAAAGGATTTTTTTTTTTGGATGTGGATGTGGTCACTAACGCGCTTGAAAATTCCTCTCCATTTCCACATTCTACTTTATTCAATAAATCATAATGTTGAATATAATACAAGTATGGTAAAGGGATTTTCTTTGTGGGACACACATTTTGTCCACTTTTCTTCCATTCTTAATCTCCTCTCATGCCCGACAGTAATACAATATAATAATAATGTGAAGTGTGAACATATTTAATGCATTGCTGTAAATTTTACATCTTCATCATAATTCTTTAATACACATTCATGGGAACAATACTTTATTTTATGAACTGTAAAGCTGTACAAATTATTATACTTCCTGATAAAATGCTGGACACTTTCTTTTGTGATTTAGAATTATTTTTGATTTTTTCTGAATTTTAACGGATTTTTGAAATTTTGAATTTTGCATGTCCATGAAAAAGTAAACAAAATGATGAAAATTTTATTTTAATTGCATTTCAAGCAGCTTTAGGTAGCGAAATCTTATTGTTTCTAAGTTTTAGATGATTAGATGAGCAATAAAAATAACAATTAAATGGGATACAGTCCATAATTCCAAAAAAATTGAACTTTCAAAAAAGTACAACTGACGTCGAATGTTTCAACACTTTCTTAAATTTCAAAAAACCGTTAAATTTTTTTCATGAACATAAAGCAGTTCTTGATGAGTAAACGATATCTTTAAATTAAAAAATACTCATCCGGATATAAATGTTCATCTAAAGAGATGAAAATGCGTTCCTCAAATTTAATTGCACATATAAAGAGTGTGAAAATGAAAGGAAATTGCTTAACAATAGGCAGTTCTTCACATCACGTATTTCACACCCTCCACGCTTCTTTTACATTATTCAATACGTAATCAATTTTGCGACTAATTTTTGTTAACATTCAGCACATCATCATTACAATCATCTATCGTCATCATCAGTCATTAATAAAATATATGTTCAAAAGAAGGAAGTCAGAAGTAGCTCAAAATATCGATAGTCATAAGAATTTGAGTTGGGGGATGTTTCAGGATTGTATTGAGGAAATTCCATCGCATGTCACTTTTATGAGTGACCTCATTCATATCACAAGCATGGAGGATGAGAAGACTGCCTATATCTCTCCTCTAACACACATTCGCACACACAAACAATAAATATATAAATTCTATTAATGGTACTGACATATTTTGAATAGCAATTTAATTTACCCAACACTAGATCATCATCATATTTCCCGCATACATACGATTCACGACGATTTCATGATTTTCATTGAAGTGGCTATAGAGAATAATTTGTGATGGGAGCGAGATAGCAAAAAAATAAAAATCAAAAGGTCCCTCTTGTTCTCCGAGGGCCTTCTATTTTTTGAGGCGCCATCTGCTGATGACTCGTCATGACGATAATGATGGTTGAGAATTATTTTTAATGTTAACAATTTTTCATTCTTTTTTAATGTGGCTTGAAAAATTAGCTGCGCTGATTTTTGTGGGAAAATTGTTTGTCAGTTTGGACAGAGTTTACTTTGGGTAGAGCACATTTTTGCGTAATGCTTTTAATGGGGGAGAAGTGATTAGTGATTTTTTGACAGTTTAAACAAATAAAATATTTCTCCATAGAAAATTAGAGACAAATGGGGGAGGGTGGGTCAAAAACTTCCTTCTATTGTGTTACGTTGAGCCCCTTTGGGGACGTTCACTTATTAAGTCATGCAAAAACTGCTTTTAGACCCATTTTGTGTGAAAAACCTTTATTTGAAATGTTACAAAATCCTGGAGCCCCTCTACCCCCCAAAATAAAAATACCAAAGATGTTCATAAAATACTGGAGGTCCTCGATTTGAGTAGATTCGATTTGAGTAACGAAAATTAATGAATAGAAATTTTAAAATTTTTTTGTAACGGACATTTTTCACACAAAAAGTAAAATTTGACTAGATTCGATTTGAATAGGATTTTTCTTGAACAGAACACCTACTCAAATCGAGGACCCCCTGTATAATATTTTGAAATTCAAATAGAGTATCGAACCTTAGACCTGTTGCAGTTCATTGGATTAGTATTGAACCATTTGAACCTCCAATATTATTTAAATTATGATTCAATTTCAGCAGAAATGCTTCTTAAACTCCCTGTTCACAGATAACCATCAAACAATCCTTTTTAAAGTTAGTCATGTATGCAAGGAAGAGACTATGACATAGAAAATCTGATAACATTTTAATTATTTTACTATCATGTTCTTTTCCACATTTTTATATTTTTTTTTGTTATTGTTGCTGTATAAATGGTTCATGATGAGAAAACAAAATCATATGTAGCACTAAGAAAAGACGATGATGATGACATCGCATAGATTGGTCATGGTTAATTTAATTACATTATATTGTGATATATTCATACATAAAAAAAAGTATGTAATTGTCTGTCCTCATCCTTCATCCATTATCGATTGAAATGAAAAGTTTTTAATTTTTTTTTTATTTCTCTGCAACTTGGCACTAAAAACTTGCTCGTCTTGATTCCGAGATGAAAAACTTCATCTCTGTCGTTTAAATTCTTTGAGTATTGAATAAATTTCTTTGAGAGAGAATGAAAAGTTTTGTATGAAAAATATTCTATAATTGAAAATGTTTGAAATATCCTCCCTTTCTATTGTCACGCTCAGATATTTCCTGAATATTTTACAATTTTT